AAGGAATGCGCCAGGGTCTGGACCCCAGGAAGACGTTCCTTATCTGAAACCGCCGCCATGTGCCTGCCGTATCAGCGTCCGCGTGCGAATCCGTCTTCGTCCCACTAGCCCGGGTCACCACACTTTCGTCTGCCAGCCACCTGCGCGCCCGACTGCTCCCCAGAAACTATCCTGCCAGCGTGGCTCTCAGAGCTGGGCACCCCGCGCGTCGAGCTTCCCGAGTGAGCGGTCGCCGCTCCCCCTGGGAGGAGGGAGACGCGGGATGAGGAGAAGAAAGAGACAGTGGAGGGGGCGAAGAAGAAAGGGAGGAGGAGGAGGATGAGGCATGAGAGCCCAGGATCGAATCGATGAGTCGGAACTGCGATCGAAATGGATGGGATCGGCGGAAATCGGCAACCGAGTCGGGAAAAGTCGAATCGGCGGAAATCGGCAGCCTAGTACGCCTCCAATGAGAGATCGGAGTCCAAATCGGAACCCCGAGTCGAATCGGATCGGAATCGGCAGCCGTCGAAATCGAATCGAATCGAGTCGGAGGAACCGAGACGAGCCCCGAGGAGGAGAAGCGGGAGGTCGCTGGGATGCGGCAGGGGCGAGAGGCAACCACCCGCTCCCGGCGAACAAGCCCTCCTTTCTCCCTCGAGGGCGCGGGCGCCGCCTCGGCAATGCCGCACGCCGCTGCACGGTGCTCGCAGTTCCAGAGCGCAGTTCTAGCTGTTCATCTGCCTCTGCTGCAGAGCAACATCGCACGAGAAAAACACGTCTGGGCGCAGGGGGCGGGGGGGCTCCCCGGAGCCAGGATGCGGACGACCAGATGAGCAACTATATCTCTGGCGTTGGAAAATGAAAACACACACACACACACACAAAAAATACAAAGGCAACAAGCTAGCAAGGCTAAAACACACTCTCGGGTCACTTCATGGCCAGCGCCTGGTCGAGGAGGAACTGCACCTTCGCAGCCTCCGGCATCCGAACGCAGGAGGGGCAAGATACGGACCGACATGGACGGACACGGCCGACTCCTGAAACCCTGGGCACGGCGAAGTCATGCCGTGACGACTCACGCGCTGGTTCCTGACACCGCGCGGATCGTGCGAGGCGGAGATTTATCCATACCCACCGCCTGGGAACCGACGTCCTGGTGCCCCTGCGGGCGGTGGATCTATATATATATATATATACAATATATATATATATATATATACACACACATAAATAGATCGGCCCCCGGGGGCCCGAATATATTATCCATATCCGCCGCCCGCGAGGTCCCCGAAAACTGATCCTCCAGGCGGTGGTCATGTCCAAATTCCCGCCTCGGAGATCGTTCAAGCTTTGACGACGGCGGCTTCCCGGCAGCGCGGAGCGCTCGATGGCTGCCGACTCTGGGCCACCGGCGGCGTGCGAGCTCGAAGGCCAGCGCTGGGACCGCCGCCGCGTCGACACAGCGTGAACCTGCCACCAGCCTTAGCCATGATGGCGTTGACCTCTCTTGGGGGACCCTTTGATGGGCCCGTTTTCCACCACCACCACCACCACCACCATGAGTTGGAGGAGGGAAGGAGGAAGAGGAGGAGGAGGAGCAGGAGGAGGAGGAGGAGGAGGGAGGAGGAGGAGGAGGAGGACCTCCCCATCCTCCCTTCGCCCCCCGTCCTACATCTGGTAGTGGTGGTGGAAAATTGGCCCATCAAGGATTTCCTGATGTTCGACTCGGGGCCCAAGGAGCGCCTCTTGGCCTTGAACGCCGTCTGGCCTGGAGAGGTTGGCCGCCTGCCGCGTACGGCTGGCACCGCAGGGCCAAGCCTGTCCCTCGCCAGGACACTCAGCAGAACATTTCCGAAAACGAGGGAATATAGCCAGAGGGGACGTGCGCTTGCCAGGGAAAGCGTCAATGACGATCCTCGAGTTGGTTCCTGACACCGCGCGGATCCTTCAAACTTTCACGTCTGCGGTTCCCCGGTAGCGCGGAGCGCCCGATGACTGCCGATGTTCTGGGCCACGGGCGGCGTGCAGGCTCGAAGGCCAGCGCTGGGACCGCCGCCGCGCCGACACCACGTGAACCTGCCAACCGGCCTTGGCCACGATGTGGTGGCGCGCACAAGGGGGGGGAGGGAGGGGGGAGGAGAGGAGGAGAGGAGGAGGAGGAGGAGGAGGAGGAAGGAGGAGGAGGAGGAAGAGGAGGAGGAGGAGGAGGAGGAGGAGGAGAAGGTGGGGGAGGAGGGGGAGGGAGGAGGAGGAGGAGGAGGAGGAGGAGGAGGAGGAGGAGGAGGCGGGGGAGGGCTTCTTAGAAGGAGGCTGCTTCTTTGAATGCGCCGGCCTTGCATCGATAGAGAAGGCCCGCGCCTTCCAAGAAGCAGGGGGTGCCTCCAAGAAAAGCCCTCCCCCCTCCCCCCAACCCCCTCCTGCGCGTGGCCGAAGGGTGGCGCTGGCCTCTCTTAGGGGGACCCGTTGCACTTCCGCCAGCCTCCGCCGACTTTCCGCCCGCCTCCGCCGGCGAGACCCACAGTGCTTGGCTTCAGCTGGTGCCTGCCGGCCTTCCACAGATCTCCGCCGATGGCGAGGGGTCGACCCCTTGATTCCGCGAGGGCGGCACCTCTTCGGAGCGCCGCCAGCCTGTGGACGACATCCCGGAAAATGTAGGCTCCCCGTCGCTAATCGAAGTACCCCTGCTTTCTAGGGCGACGAGATCTATACATATCCACTGCTCCTGGCCAGGCCCATCCTGGGCCCAGGAGCTGTGTATATGCCTCCCTGGCCAGGCCAGGAGGGCGTATACACCGCTCCTGGGCCCAGGATTGGCCTGGCCAGGAGCAGTGGATATGCATAGATCTCGTCGCCCTACTTTCAGTCACTGGCATCGAGCATGGCCCCAGGAAGGCCCCAAGGGTCCTCGAAAAGGTAGCACGGGAACCTTTCGAGGGGCAAGATGTCCCTTAGATGCTCGGAGAGGGCCCCAGGTTCGGCATCTGAGCGATCAGCCTAACATAAGGCGTAGCCAAGCCCGACTCAGCTGGGCTACGCTGAGACATGCGAGCCTGCGCCAGACTCAGTCCCGCTCAACACGCTCTAAACAAAGTCACATCAGACGAGGCCAAGCCAACCCACGCAAGCTCGGCCAAGCTCACCTGGCTTGACCTAAACCGACCTGACTACACCAAGCCAAGCCAAGCCAAGCTAACTTTGGACCTGCCCAAGGGTGCGTCTTGGCCACAGTTCCAGAAGAGTCCGGCCGCACTGGCAAAAAGACTCCCAGACACCAAATAGAAATAACAAACATGCCACAACAAAAACTCGGTCCCCGATCCTCGAACCCCGAAGTCCTCTGGCCAAACTCCCTTCAAAACAAATTCTCTAAGCCATCCCGGAACCAATCCTGGCTGGTTTGCCGGCCAAATCGATGTCTGACATTCCTGGGAGTCGAAGCGGACCCTCCAGACGCTGACAAATGCAAAACAACTCTTCGAACCTCCTCCTCATCATCATCCTCCTCCGCCGCCTTCTTCTTATTCGTATTATTCGTATTATTCTTATTCTGCTTAATATTATTCTTATTATTTTTATGTAGTAATATGTTTCTTATAAGTTGTCGCAGTATGATTCTTATTAGTTTTAAGATTCTTAATATTATGATTATTATTCGTGTTAGTCTTCTTATTATTAGTAGTAGTAGTATCATTATTATTAGTATCGATCTTATTCTTATTAGTAGTATTATTCGTATCCGTCTTCTTATTATGATTATTATTATTTTGCTTAGTATGATTAGTCTTATTACTATGCGTAATAGTTTTATTCTTATTCGTCTTAGTATTAGTATTGTTGTTAGTCGTTTTAGTCGTCTTTTCATTAGTAGTATTAGTATTCGTCTTCTTATTAGTATTATTATGTGCATTCGCCTTCTTATTCATATTCTGAGTATTAGTACTATTAGTATTAATATTGTTATTAATAGTATTAGCCGTATTATTATTATTCGTCTTCTCCTCCTCCTCCTCCTCCTCCTCCTCCTCCTCCATCACCCCTCCTCCTCCTCCTCCTCCTCCTCCTCCTCCTCCTCCTCCTCCTCCCCATCCTCCTCCTCCTCCTCCTCCTCCTCCTCCGCCTCCTCCTCCTCCTCCTCCTCCTCCTCCTCCTCCTCCTCCTCCTCTTCGATCTTCGACCCTCAACCCGCGACCCTCGAAATTCGGCCATCACGAGCCCCCGAGGCGGAATCGAGCGAAAAAGCACCCAGCGAGGACAAGTGCGACACCTGGGCCTCAGGGAACTCCTGGGCTGTCCACCCCTTCACGATTCACCATGCATCTGACGATGCGATTGCTTCAACCCGCCGAGTCCGAAATCGAGGCAAAACTCCCGGAGCGAAAAGATCAATCCCTTGGATGCCTGGGCCCCCTTCCTGGCGGCGCAGCCCGAGCCCGCAGGCCCCGTGGCCGGACCCTGGCGGCACAACTCGCGGCCTCTGCCCGCGAGAGCGCGCTCGATGTCTGGGCCCTCCCTGAGATCGGACGCTGCGACAACAACAAAAAAATGCAGCACCACGAAATACATCACGACCAGAGCCCCAGACCCCTCTGCGGCATTTTTCGAGCCGCACCGATCTGTGGCTTGGGGGCGACGAGGGGGGCGACTAGCCCAGGGGGGAGCAGTACGTGCCCAGGGGCGCCGATAGTCCGTGCCTTCGGCGAGGCTCCGGGGGCGAGTACGTGTGATGCCCGCCCCTGGGCTATCCGCCCCTGCTGTCGCCTCCGGAAGGCCCCCATGGGGCCTTCCGGGGCCCGCTTGTGGGCAACGGTTCGTGAAGCCCTCTTGGGTCATCATGCGGCCCCCTCCTCCTCCTCCTCCTCCTCTCCTCCTCCTCCTCCTCCTCCTCCTCCTCCTCCTCCTCCTCCTCATTCTCATCCTCCTCCTCCTCCTCCTCCTCCTCCTCCTCCTCCTCCTCCTCCTCCTCCTCCTCCTCCTCCAGTGCGGCCCCCCTGGGCCACAGGGGTGCCCTCTGGGGCCGGCCCTCTGGGGGGCCCGGCACCGCCACCGACGGGCCCAGGGGCCGAAGCCAGGCGAGGACGCCCAGCGCGAAGAAAAGGCAGCGCCAGGGCCTTCAGGAAAGGCTAACGGCGTAAGCCCATACGGAGACCGAGCACTCCGTACGAACCTGCTGCGTGTGGGCCCAGACTCCTATCAGGGCAGGCGAGAGGTCCGGACGGAGGGAGTCCATACGGAGACCGAGCACTGCGTATGGACCTACTCCGTATGGACTTTAGCCTCCGTTATGACCTCAGGGCTCAGCCTCCCTGGAAGAAGCAAAAACGGCATAGGCATTAACTCTTGGCGCTCCGCGCGGATGTCTCGGATCTGCGCTGGACCCCCCTCCCTGGAGCGCCTGGCGCGCCAGGGGCGGCGCCAGAGGCGCCGCCAGGGGGGGCCCAGCGCGGAGCCAAGACATCCGCGCGGAGCGCCAAAAGTTTATGTTTACGGCGTTTGTTCCTCTTCGACTCCCCCCCCCCCTGGCTCCAGCGGCCCCCTCCCCCACCCGGCGGCCCCGCCTTGGCGGACCCGTGCCGCCGGGTGCCGGGGCTCTCCGCGTAGCTCTCCAGGCGCAGCGGGCCCTTCCGGACGTAGATCCAGACCTCGCCGCTGCGCCGTCGTCGTGATCGTCGACGGCGGCGAAGGCGGCGGCGGCGGCGTTTTCGCCGCCGCGGTCGTCGATGGCGAAAACGCCGCCACCGTCGTCTTGGTCGACGTCGGCTTGGTCGGCGGCGGCGTCGGTGTCGTCGGCGTCGGTGTCGTCGGCGTCGGCGTCGTCGTCGGCGTCGGCCTCGTCGCCGCCGCCGCCGTTCCAAACCTCTAGCGGATCGACCCGCTCGATCGCAGCGTTTTTGTTTTGCTCCTCGGCCTCCAGGGGGGGGGGAATCTTTCGCGAGCCCCCGGCCGGAGACAGGCCGAGGGCGCGCAGCTGCCCACCGGGGAGGGGGCCGAGGCCCCCGGCGACCGGGGGCGCCGCCGCCGTCGATCGACGACGACGACGACGACGACGACGACGACGACGACGACGACGACGACGACGACGACGGCCCTAGCAGGACGATCCCCCGAGAGCCGAAACCTGCGGAACGCACTCGTCTCGCGACGTCATGCGCACAGCCTTCCTTTTAGATGTCCTGGGCTGGCGCCCATACAACGCGGCACGCTCAGACCGTGCGCGATCGAGAGCGACCGAGAGGGTCACGCGCAGTCGACACGTGCGAGGAGGACACCAAACGTGTCCACCCGACACGCCGCAAGCGTGCCGCGGCGAGTTGTGTGTCCGAAGCTGTCTGGACCGGGGAGGTCGAAAATCTGCCCGCCCCCCTCCGCCTCTCCTCCGGGTGGCGCCCCCGGCCTGCAACGCCCCGGCCTCCAGGGGCCCCCGTCCCGAGGACCTCAAGAGCAGGCAGCCACACGCGAGGCCATCGCCCCCAGGAGGCCAGGCTTCTGAGGCGTCGGAAAGGGGGGTGCATAAACTCAAAGGATGTCTGCAGCCAGGTGAGTCCCAGCAGGGGTGTCCGACATCCCAGCGTCGCGTGGACCAGCAGGGGAAAGGTTCGCACTCGGTCGCAGGCAGAACGCAGAGGTCAAAAACGGTTCCGGACACCCTGAGCCCAACTTGAAGTTGACGCCTCACTTCTTCTTCTTCTTCTTCTTCTTCTTCTTCTTCTTCTTCTTCTTCTTCTTCCACCGCCTCTCGCCGAGCTTCCGCGCGCCAGGCTCGTGTCGTGACGACCTCGGCGCTGGCTTCTGGCACAGGGAAGGGCGCTCAACTCTGCGCGGTCGGAGCTTTCCGATAGCGCAAGAACCATATCGGCCGATGCCAGGCCACTGGTGGCGTTCAACCCTGAGCGCCCGCGCTGGGGCCCCCGCGGCGTCGACAGGGCACGAACCTGCCGCAGCGAGGCACAGAGGGCCCGGGTGCCCAAAATCCGCCGACCCTTCGGCGTGCGTGAGATGCGTTTCCGTTTGAGTCGTCGTCATCGTCCTCCGCCTCCTCCGCCTCCTCCGCCTCCTCCGCCTCCTCCTCCTCCTCCTCCTCCTCCTCCTCCTCCTCCTCCTCCTCCTCCTCCTCCTGGTCGTCGTCGTCGCCGTCAGTCCCAAAGAGATTAAGGAACAAGGAAATTGAAGAACGTCGTAGTTCAGTCGGCTTCCCTTTGATCCCTTCCCGACCGGGAAGGGGTCCTGGGGTGGGTAGACTCGGGGAGGGGGGGTCCCGAAGGAGGTCCCGTGTCAGAACGTATCATCCCCCCTGGGGGTCCCGGAGACCAAAACAGCCAAAGGCGGGCCAAGATTGCCCCAAGAGGCCGCCAAGACGGTCCAAGTTGGCCCCGAATCGCCGATCGATCGGTCCAAGACGCCCTAGATAGCCCCAGACAGCCCCAAGACGCCCCAAGAGGCCTCCAAGCGAACTCCCATGAGGACCCCACGAGGCAAACTTCATTGATTTTCCACGAGGCGTTCTCGCCTTTTCGGCTTCCCGACGCTTCAAGACGGCCCAAGAAACCCCCAAGATCGCCCCAAGACGGCCCAAGAGGCCCCCCAGACGGCCCCCAGAAGCCCCGAGAGGCCCTCAAGAGCGCCCGAGAGGCCCCCAAGTGGCTCCTAAGAGGTTCCAAACAAAGCTCCCCCCCAGAAGCCTCCGAGAGCGCTCCGAAGAGACCCCACGGAGCATGCCTGAGGACTCTGACCCACGTCAGCGTCGTCGTCGCCGCCGCCGCCGTCGTCGTCGTCGTCCCCCTTCAGGATCGGCGGCACCGGCCGTAAGGCCTTCGCAATAGGACGAACAGCCGGGGGGGCCTCAAGTCAGGGCTACGTTTAGGTCGGCCATGTCCTCCTACAGGCGGATTTTGAAAGAAACATGGAAAATACTCAAAAACACCAACAACAAAAAAGCCCGACAAATTGTCCCTGACTAATTGTACGATTCTCGAAAAATCCTCCTGTAGAGGGACATGTCCGACTTGAGGCTACCTCTGGCAACCTCCGACCTCCCCCACCCTCTCCGCAAGCCAGCGGACGACAAGGGGTGATCACCAGAGGGGGTTCCCGACCCCTCCCTCCTCCCTCCTCCTCCTCCTCCTCCTCCTCCTCCTCCTCCTCCTCCTCCTCCTCCTCCTCCTCCTCATCCTCATCTCCTCCTCCTCCTCCTCCTCCTCCTCCTCCTCCTCCTCCCTCCTCCTCCTCCTCCTCCTCCTCCTCCTCCTCCTCCTCCTCCCTCCTCCTCCTCCTCCTCCTCCCCCTCCTCCTCCCCCTCCTCCTCCCCCTCCTCCTCCTCCTCCTCCTCCTCCTCCTCCTCCTCCTCCTCGGCGCCGGCGCCTCCGGGCGCCTCTGGGCGGCGGGGCCGAAACCAGCTGCACGCAGTAGATGGGACGCACAGAGACATACTTTGGAGGCCTGGAAATGGACACCAACACCTACACAGGGCCTCCTCCTCCTCCTCCTCCTCCTCCTCCTCCTCCTCCTCCTCCTCCACCTCCTCCTCCTCCTCCTCCTCCTTCGATGCGGCCCCCCTGAGCCACATGGGTGCCCTCTGGGGCTGGCCCTCTTGGGGGCCCGGCACCGCCACCGACGTCGGAGGCCTGGAAATGGACACCAACACCAACACAGGGGGTTGCCTCCACAGGGGAAGATGATCGTAGATTTCGGAGTTGGTGGTAGTATTTCGGTCACCTTGGAGGCCAGAATATGACCACCATCACCGAGATCGGGATCTTCTTCCCTCGGTGGGGGCACACCGCCGATATTGGTGTTAATATCAACCTCTAGGCCTACAGATACTAATACTATGTGTCCTCCTTAAGGGCGCGCGTCCGACCCGAACATATAGTATATCCATGTTGTAGTATATCGTTTCCTGGGCGGTGTGGCCAAAAAGCGCCCGCCACGACGCATATGCTGTAAGATTTCTCGGTGCGCGCGTCGCCCCTGGGGGGGCGACGCACACTTTGTGTAAGTATGTTGGGGTGGCGCCGAGGAGATGTCACAACCCTTGGCCACACGCAAGGGGAAGCGCAGGGGGAGGGGGAAAGACTATTTAGAAACAGGGGTGGTTCTAAGAAGCATTCCCCCCTCCCCCATGCCCCCTCTGCGCGTGGCCGAAGGGACTCGTCAGGACTAGAAGCACAATTACCATGCGACGTACCCAAACCGTTTCCGCACATGTGGCGACACCAAGCAGAACCGGTCAACACAAACAATAAAGTTAAACGACCCGCAGGAGCCCACAAAGTGGTGGCAGTCCCCCAGGGAGCCGCGAGGTTTCGGCTGTGTGTGTTCACAGCTCCGCTCCGCTGGGCCTCCCAGGAGCCCACGAAAGCGGCGACGATCGCGCACTTCGCAGCCCCCCAGGGAGCCGCGAGGTCTCGACTGGGTGCATTTACATCTCCACTCCACTGGGCCTCCCAGGAGCCCACGAAAGTGGCGACAGTGGCACACCTCGCAGTCACACCAGGATGGAGCCGCGAGGTCTCGGCTGGCTATGTTTACAACTCCACTCCGCTGGGCCACCCAGGAGCTCACGAAAGTGGCGAAAATGGCACACCTCGCGGCCATCCAAGGAGCGACGAGGTCTCGGCTGGGTGTGTTGACAACTCCACTTCGCTGGGCCTCCCAGGAGCCCACGAAAGCGGCGACAATCGCGCAGCTCGCAGTCCCCTAGGGAGCCGCGAGGTCTCGGCTGGGTGCGTTTACAACTCCACTTCGCTGGGCCTCCCAGGAGCCCACGAACATGGCGACAGTGGCGCACCTCGCAGCCACCCCAGGGAGCCGCGAGGTCCCCCCTCCCAGGAGCACACGAGGGAGGCAGAGTCACAACGGGGCTGCAACGCAAGCAGGAGGAAGGAGAGAAGGGAGGAGGAAAAGGGAAGGGAGAAAGGGGAGAGAAGGAGAAAAAAATGAAGAGGAGAAGAGGGAGAGGGGAGAGAAGGGAGGAGGAGAGGGGAGAGAAGGGAGGAGGACGAGGGAAGGGAGAAAGGAGGAAGAGGAAAGGCAAGGGAAGGAGAAGGGATAAGGAAGAGAAGACAGGAGGCAGGAAGTAGGAGGCAGGAGGCAGGAATGGGGGAGGGGGGGAGGGGGGGGCCACAGCGCTCTATTCAAAACGAGAACCAAACACAGGAGGGTTGGAAACGAAAATGCACAACCAGGATGAGGGGGCCCAGGACCACACAGACCAATAGGCACGGATCCCCGGCTCTCCCCACGCTCCACCTGCTCTCGGGATGCTCGCCGCCCCATGCACTTCCTCCTGCTCCTGGGGATCGACGATCATTTCTGTGCTGGTGTGTTCCTTCCCCTCTGCGCGTGGCCGACTCCTCCCCCAGTCCGTTCGCAGGTCTTATACCAGCCTCGAACGTATCCCTATCCCTAAGATTGACACGCCAAAAGGCGATGACAATCTCAGGGATTCGCCCTCAACAAAATAACGGATTCCCTACGATTGGCGTCGTGATGAAGAGGTGCCCAGCATAGGGATAGGGATATGCTCCAGGCTGGTAAGTCTTGGGCCCGTGCCTCCATGCGCCTCCGGCGCCGCCGTGCCACGGACCCCGGCAAACGCGGAGCGCGCCCGGACAGGGGACCCCAGCCTGGAGCCCAGAAATCCGCGCGGACCTCCGAAGGCATGTGCGATCATGTCCCCCTGCTTCCTCGCGAGAAACCCAAGGGGGGGGGGGGGGGGGGGTGCTTCTGAGGAGCCTTTCCCACCTCCCCCCACCGGGCTGTCTTTGAACGGACGTGGGCGTCGGGAAACTGAAGAGGCGAGAACTCGGAAATCCTTCAAAACCCACAGGAAGATTGGATATATATATATATATATATATATATATATATATATATATGGACAGCCCCCACCCCAGCACCCATTCATCGCCTTCTTTCTCTTGGCGATGTTCTACACTCCTCTTCCTTTCCTTTCCCTTCCTTCTTTCACTCCCCTTCCTTTCCCTCCCCTTCCTCGCTTACATCTTCCCCTGGCGTCAACGGGGGCGTTTTTTCGACTCCACTCGCGCGCGCTCTGGCCGCAAGGCTGGCCAACGCCTAACGGCAGCGCACTGTAGAACATGCACACGGCGCCTTCCCCCGAATGAGGGAACCCTGAGCTTGTGGCGAGCATTCTGCACACACAGTGGGCCCAAGAGGCACCGAACCCTGTGATTTCACAGGGATGCTTGGGATTTCTGGGATGTTAATCCCACAAACCCTATGATTTCACAGGGATGCCTGGGATTCCTGGGATTTCCTACCTCCGACAATAATCTACCCAGGGCCCCCCCCCCCTCCCCAAGGCCGCGAATCCCAAGCATCCCTGTGAATTCACAGGGATGCTCGGGATTCGGAATCCTGGGGAGCTTCAGGGTGGAATTGTGTCGGAGGGTTGAGAATCCCAGGAATCCCAAGCATCCCTGTGAAATGACACGGTTTCTGGGTTTCTCATCCCAGAAATCCCAAGCATCCCAATGAAATCACACGGTTCGGTGCCTCTTGGGCCCCGGAGGAGGCGGACGGGAAGGGCGAGGCAGACGAAGAGGAGGAGGAGGGGGAGGAGGGGGAGGAGGGGGAGAAGGCTGAGGAAAACTAAGAGAAGGAATCGGGGCACGCTGCAGCATGCCACGCAGGGAAAAGCATGCGCACTACACACAGTGACGCGGAAACGAACTGAGCGGCTGCATGGGAGATGCGGCGCGAATACTAGAAACAGTATTGCACAGGGCAAGAGGAGGAATATGTATGAGGCCACCGTTGAAGGCGAGGAAGAGGGAGGAATCAAGACAGGGAGGAAGATGGGAGGAATAAGCATGAAGGAGTACAGGACGTCGATGGGCCCTCCGTAGCACCCATGGGCCCCGCGACCCGCAGGTGTCTCATCTTCCTCCTCCTCCTCCTCCTCCTCCTCCTCCTCCTCCTCCTCCTCCTCCTCCTCCTCCTCCTCCTCCTCCTCCTCCTCCTCCTCCTCCTCCTCCTCCTCCTCCTCCTCCTCCTCCTCCTCCTCCTCCTGGGCTCCTGGAGGAGGAGGAGGAGGCATCCTGGAGGCCTCCTGGGGCGTCTTGGAGGCCTCTTGGACAGTCAGGAGCTCATTCTGGGGTGACCCCTCGGCGCGTGGCCGACTCCTCTCCCGGTCCGTTCGCATGCCTGCCTCGGGTCAACGTGCCACTCAGCGCCTCCGGCGCCGCCGTGCTCACTGACGAACGCGAAGTGCGCCGAGGCAGGGGCCCGGCGCCGAGCCACGATCCGCGCGGGCCTCCGAAAGTTTGTGCGATGTGCTCCTCTCGTTCTTCCAGAAACAGAGGGGTGGAGAGAGAGGGAGATACATACATACATATATATAATGTGTGTATACGTCTGTGTCGAATTATGCAAATAGATATACCAGCATTGATATATAGAGTGAGGGAGAGCGAGAGAGAGAGAGGAAAAAGAGAGAGAGAGAGAGGGACAAGGACAGGTAGAGGGACAGCGACAGGGACAGCCTGACCTGGGCG